GTCGCGCCATCGACTAAGCCATTGCTTAGTCGATGGCGCGACACGACAAAGCGCTGACATACAGTCGATATCATTTCAATAATCGCCCCGCAGCTCACATCTAAACGTGGTTACGATTAGTTGTCGAGAAAGGAACGAAATGACGCACGAAACGATGATTTTTGCATGTTCTAGCGAAGTTAACGACTCAATTTAAAGCATTGTTGTTAATTTCGAAACACTGACTCATCCTCGTTGAGCGCAAAGTGACTCAAAGTGACTTAAATTGCCTCAAAGATTCAGTGTTAAGATCACAGGAAATCCTCATGAAGATTATTCGTCGAAAAGCGACGAAAAACAAAGAATATAAAGGAAAATAATTATTCGAGCGGTTTTTCGCGAGAATTTGATGACGCGGCAAAAAGTAGTCCGCAAAATTAATGAGCAACGATTATAACTGATATTTGCGCGGATGAATGGATGCACCAAAAAGAAGGGCCGATAATTCAATTGGGCGGATTCAATCATAACTAGCCGAACTTAGAGTTCGTCGATAAGTGATTAATATCACAGGATGTCTAGCATCAGGATTTTCTCGATTCTATCAGGATTTGAGGTCAATCAGGATTTAATCCCGATTTCATCAGGATTTGAGAAAAAATCGGTCGTAAAATCAGGATTTGAGAAAAGTCGGCTGTCCTATCGGATTTTTTTATTCTTTCGCGTACGCTTATGCAGATATTTTAATTTTTATCCGCAAAAACTCCACCCAAAGTGTAAAGTTAGTTTATCGTTATTCAGTGTATAACTTACCCTTTTTCATTCTTACTGTTTCTTTTGTTCTCTCTCTCTCTCTCCCTCTCTTGGTGTGATGTAATTTTGTTTCTTCTGTAAATTTTTTGGTGGCAAATATACAATTAAAAAAAAAAAAAAAAAAAAAAAAAAAAAAAAAAAAAAAANAAAAAAAAAAAAACCAAGGTACAAGTTGTTATTTTTAATATTTGCCGTTTCAAAATATGTAGATTAATCGTTTAAACGATCGATTCAGCGATTAATTGGACCGCGTTTAACAGAAAGGAACCAAGCCACATCAGCTATTGCCAATTTTAACTGGGCACTTTAATTTTTTACGTGATAACGTTTGTGCGGATCCCTTTGAAAATGTTAAGGAATTTGCTTCGTACTGTGGAGAAAATTCACTAAAATTTCCACGAAAATCCGCTCAACTGTTTTCATGTAAAAAATTAAATTAGCCAATTAAATTTGGCAATAGCTGATGTGGCTTGGTTCCTTTCTGTTAAACGCGGTCCAATTTTGATTCGGATAATCGATTGATCCACCAATTGAAAAACCGAA